GGCTGAGATCACTGCGAGAATTGCTGATCCCACCACAGCCTGTCAGGTCACGTTAGTGATGAGTCCGTCGCTGGGCTGCGCTGCCAATCTCACTCTGCAGGCTGAGCTGGCCGGGAGCGTCCGGAACACAGAGATGAGGTGAGAGCAAACTTCTCCCAGAGATGCGGGTCAGGAGAAACATGGAGTGTGCTGTGGTGTCCTCTACATGGAGTGTGCTGTGGTGTCCTCTACATGGTGTGTGCTGTGGTCTCTGGTGCCCTGTGCATGGAGTGTGCTGTGGTCTCTGGTGCCCTGTGCATGGAGTGTGCTGTGGTCTCTGGTGCCCTGTGCATGGAGTGTGCTGTGGTCTCTGGTTCATTCACTTCCATTTCTAGGTTTGTTGCCTGTGCTGGCCCAGCTGTCATCCTCATGCCGAGGTGATGGCAGATCTTTGTGGTTGGATTTGTATGTTGATAATATTGGTTGGATGTGATTGGTCGGTGGCGGGTCTGGTAGGGAGGGGTCACGGCGGGATGCCGAGGTGAGATCTCGGGACAGTTGGTAGGAAATAATGTATCACAATGCACCACTTAAAGGGGCAGTCCACCCCAAAGTAATCATTTAGATGTAGGCGGAGCCTGGTGAGCTAGGATGGCCCCCGGCGTCTTATATGTCTTGTTTACACCAACAGCGAGATCTCCGCACTTCCAACTCTTTTCCTATCCATCTCAGGTGTTCCCGCCCACCTCTACCTGGCCCCGCCCCCTGCTGAGTATTCACGCCCAGCTCCTTATGTTACATTCTCCATAAGAGAGGGTTCAGCAGGGATTGTGGGAACCCCTCCGGGGTGGAGAATTCCCCAATGGGGGGTCCCAGGCAGACCTCTCCGGCATCCACCTAACACTGAGATGTCGGTTTAGGGGGACGGACCCCAATTGTTGGTGAGGAGAAAATCCGTCTTGTATAAACTTTGTGTGGTGACCCCTCTGTGCGGTGACCCCTCTGTGCGGTGACCCCTCTGTGCGGTGACCCCTCTGTGTGGTAACCCCCCTGTGTGGTGACCCCCATGTGTGGTGACCCCCATGTGTGGTGACCCCCCTATGTGGTGACCCCTCTGTGTGGTGACCCCTCTGTGTGGTGACCCTTCTGTGTGGCCGGCACGGTGTGAATATTTGCTGACGCGCGGTTGTGCGTTCTTGTCGCAGGCGGTGCACAATAGCATGCGTGCCTACATCCAGCACCGAGAGAACGAGAACTCCGGAATGAGGACGTATTACTTCAGTGCCGACACCCAGGAGGACATGAACGGCTGGATCCGGGCGATGAACCAGGCGGCCCTCGTCCAGAGCGCTCCCGACAACAAGAGGCAAGTGACCTCCTCATGAGTGTGTGCACAGGGGCGCGCTCCTACGACCTGTCTACAGTGTCTTCTAACCTACAGGGAGGGAAAGGGGGGCGACAACCCCCCGAGATCACCTCTTCCTCCTCCAACCCCCCGAGATCCCCTCTTCCTCCTCCAACGCCCCGAGATCCCCTCTTCCTCCTCCAACCCCCCGAGATCACCTCTTCCTCCTCCCACCCCCCGAGATCACCTCTTCCTCCTCCTTTTTTTTTCTTATTGATTGCCTGTGAAATGCTGCAGCTCTGGGCCGCCCCGGGAGCGCGCTGCGGAGAGCGAGGGCGGGGTCTGCAGGATCCCAGAATGTGGGAGAGAGTCCTGAGCTCAGCAATATCATCATCCGCATCCACTCCGGCCAGGGACGGCCATGACTCACCAGATGGAGGGGGTGGAGATGATGGAGGGGGTGATGGGGATGATGGAGGGGGTGGGGATGATGGAGGGGTGTCTTATGATTGTCCTGCAAATTCAAGGATTTCTTATTTTGTTCTGTTCAGGGAAGTTCTGGACACGGATTGGCCGGCCGTCAATGTGAACAACCATATGGACTCCTTCACAGAGTTTGCCCAGCTGGAGACGGTTCCGATGAGGAGCAGCTACTCCAAACCCAAAGAGCCCTTAACATTCCGGAGCGAGGACCCGCGGCGCAATTCCGGAGAGAAGGAACAGCACCGCGACGTGGCAATCCAAGATGGCTACCGAGACGAAGGTGGGAAAGGTCGCTACGCGGTGGTGGGTGAGAAGGAGCGCTACCGGGAGCCGGGGGACAGAGAACGCTATCAGGAGGCCGCGGATACGGATCTTTATCGGAACGGCGGAGAGAAGGAGCGCCAGCGAGAAGTAGACAAGGAACCTCATTGGACCGGCGCCAACCAGGAGCGCCAGCGAGAACTTGACAAGGAACCTCATCGGACCGGCGCCGACAAGGAGCGCCAGCGAGAGGTTGGGGATAAGGATCGCCTCAAGAACCGGATAGACAAGGATTACTCCCGGGATCAGGAGGAGCCGGAGCGTTACCGGAACGGCCGAGACCGCGAGAATTGCGCCCCCCACAAAAACGCCATCAACGCCAACGGCGGGAAGCCGCAGAACTCTTTCCTCTCCAGCGAGCGTCCGTCCGCGTTCACCGATCTCACGAAGCGGCATCAATATCAGGCGGCGCAGACGCCTCAGCCACAAGCCACACTGGAGAGGAACGGGACCCTGCCGGCCTCCTTCCGGACCAGCACCAGTCCCATGGAGCAGAACGGAGCTGATACCTACCGGAGGGGCTTGGTGCCCAGAGCCGGCCCGGAGAAACAGGTGCAGCGGCGCAGCGTGATGGGCCAGGTGGAGCAGTGGGTGAAGATCCAGAAAGGAGACGGCAAAAGGTGAGACTGCAGACACTGAACCTGCTTCTGACAATGCCGCCTGCCTGGCTCTGACCCGTTCCAGAGTCACCAATCCGGGGACAGCGTGCAGATTGGGAGTTCTGAAAGGACTGAAGCCAGAGATAGCCGGGCACGTGGCATTTCCAGGGGCAGCCTATGCACCTCCTCGGCCCATTTCAGATGGGGGCATATGTGTGACGCAGCAAATGTGACTTTAACTAAACATTCACTGGTGGTGAATCAATCATTGTCATTTTAAAATGCATGCACCTGGCATATTCCCCTGCGGTGAATGTACGGTGAATGTCGGATGTATTTCCTGATTGTTCAGAAGTAAGAGAGAAGGGAGCTCATCTCCCATAATGCACCGGGAACCCTAACCTCTGTGTGATATGTATTCCGGGTACATGACGCCACCTGCAGTCACTGCGGGGGTATTGCGTGTGATATGTATTCTGGGTACAGGACACCACCTGCAGTCACTGGGGGGTATTGCGTGTGATATGTATTCTGGGTACATGACGCCACCTGCAGTCACTGGGGGGTATTGCGTGTGATATGTATTCTGGGTACAGGGCGCCACCTGCAGTCACTGGAAGGTATTTCGTGTGATATGTATTCTGGGTACAGGACGCCACCTGCAGTCACTGCGGGGGTATTGCGTGTGATATGTATTCTGGGTACATGACGCCACCTGCAGTCACTGGGGGGTATTGCGTGTGATATGTATTCTGGGTACAGGACGCCACCTGCAGTCACTGCGGGGGTATTGCGTGTGATATGTATTCTGGGTACAGGACGCCACCTG